ACTGCTAATATTTTTCATAAAGATTATTAAAGATAACCACAAAGTTCAAAGCAATCACTAAAACATGTGTTTTGATTTGTTTTCTCAGTTTATCTTCTCCAACACTTTTTTTGCCTGTATTAACATTTAAAGGGCTCTACATTCCTATTTCTAAGCTGAATCTACAGTAGGACTGGCCGTGCTGTTAATTACGGTAATTTGTTTGTTTGTAATTGTTGGAAAACGGCCAACAGAGGGCGCCAGGTTCAAGGAAAGGGTCAAAATAAAATCAGGTTTTGATCTGTAAATCTATCAAAAACCAGTGCAGCTGCTTTTATTTTAAACTAATTAAATTCAGATTAAATTATCTATTTTTGTTCTACAATACTTCTAGTTAAGTTTCATGGGTTGATTAACTAATTTTTCAATAAGCAGAAACATGCTTTTAAAAGGTTGCATGTCAGCAGTCCAAAGTACAGGCATCCTGCAACCTCTAGATGTGTCCCTGGTTCGACACACCTGAAGGAAATGGCCAAATTCCCTCCGCTGTCATCAGTAACATTCTCCAGAGTCCTGCTGATGAGATAATTATTTGATTTGAGCGAGTTTAACACAAAGACTAATCTCTAACTTAGTCCTAGAGGACCAGAGCTTGACACCTATGTCCTAAAGGAATACAACTGTATTCCTGCTCAAAACCATCTTTGCTGATTTAGTCTCAAAGGGATTTAGCCCCAAAGGTTAAAATCCAGTATCTAGAATAACTCCTAGAATGATTCATAATTTCTTCAAGTTACTGCTCATTTTAATTTACATGATTCCTTTATCGATTGTTTCAGCTTTTCTGTTCAAAACATCCCTAAAATATGGTCCTAAGAACATTTTGTAAGCTGGCTGACTTTAAGAAATTTGTCAAAAAGAGAAAAATATATATTTTTTAATTGTCAAAATTATTGTTTCTCCACATTATTATTATCATACTTTAGCCATATCTGCAATGACTCAACACAGTGTGCGGTGTTCCCTTTAAAAGATAATCTTTTTTATCAATTGTTATTTAAATTTGATTTTGACTCAGCTTTGTTTTTGCAAGACACAATATACAAGTTTAAGTTAGAATGTATGCAATGGAATTTAAACTGGTGATGGTAAGTTAATTAGATTACAGAATAAAATATAATCAGTTTTGCAGTTTTACAGTTTTCGAAGTAGTTTTCGAAACACAAACTTTTAGTTGTATGAAAAGGAATGTAAATGTTATAGCTATTATTTAATCACAACGCATAAATCAACTCAAATATTGTATTACATTTTTCTAGCATTTATTTTTCAATTACAGAAAAAAAGTTCAGTTTTGTTTATTTATTTAGAAACAATTTACAGCAAATCTCATCTCATTCTCTCCTTGGAATACAAATTGGTCTATTTTACATCTAGAAATATGAAACACCAATATATTTCAATCATGTATAGATGTATGTTTAAATAACTTGGGCAGAGCTGTAATGCAAACCAATCAAATTCCGCTAATTATAGCAATTGGTTAAACTATTTTTTTCTTACAAAACCCAGCTAATTATACTCAGCTCATTAACTTAAGAGCAATTCCTCATCCTGAGCAAGTTTATGGCATAGTGGGGAAAAAAAGGGACTGACTTTGCTTTTCTCTTTTAACAAAACATTTATGTATCAGAACTTAAATAATTGGTTAATCAACTGCTGTGGTGAAACTCCACTTACACTCCTTTAATTAACTTTGTAATTTGAGCTGCACTGACTGAGCTTAAACAGTTGCATTAATGCCCTGGATTTGTGCAGTAACCTTGTGGTTACCCCACACCCCATCCCACAGAAAGCACTTATAATTTCTCTGTAACAGTCACTCCGACGATGATGGTGTTCTCAAGTCAATATCTTTGAAATGTGAGTGTAGCGTCCTCAATTTTGCAGGCTGTTTTTAATAATTTACCTGATGCGCCCTGAGTGTTTGAGGCAGTGGGAGGCGCAGGCTGCTGTGTCCCTCTGTGGAGTGTTGCAGAGATATGTATGCAGGGCCACAGCCTCCCTACCGGCCTCTCTCTGCTGATTGTTGTTACACACACAGCACTCTCGCGGGTGATGTAATTGGATTCCATGGGTCCCTATTTTACAGTTCATTGCCATGTAATGAAATCAGTTATTTACTTTCATCATAAAATCTGATAGGGGGCAACATCTGTTGGAGTAAAGTTTGACTGAATACTGCATATGAATGCTGATGTTCAGGGGTCTGTGACAGGTTTGAGCTGCAGCATCGTGAGCGGCTCCTTTGTGCACTAAGATCAACACTTTGCTGCACAAGCAGTGCTTTACTAAACATGTAAAAACAGGAGCAACAATTTTTTGTTTAAACTTGAGCAACGCTACTATCAACGGTAAGCGCAATCATTGAGAAGAGTGCTGTGCAGCACAGTGTCTGCTCCACTCTGTGGTCTCATTATATCGCTGCTGCTCTGCTGCTGCTGCTGCTGGAGGACACTGAAGGACACAAACGATTGAATTCAAGTGTTGTATATTCCCTGGAAACCAATCAAGAAAAGCCCCAGAATAATAATCCCTGTCCAGTGTCATGATTCATTTTTATTTTGTTCCATATTTTTCTCCGGCTTTTGAGTCACTCAGGAAGGGTAGTTCCAGCATAAAATCAATGTTCCATTAAAATTTAATGGCCAGGAAGGGCTTAATAGTGGTGGAACAGATGCCTCTGCTTTTGAGAACGCCGGCATCTCAAGAACTCTAACTCAAAGAGATATTGGTGTTGTCAGGCACTCTGATGGTTCCCCTTTTCTGCTGCTTTGAGAACTACAGATATTGGCATTTTTCCGCCTCAGAGTGGGGAAATTGAAATTTAGGAAATTGACGGTGAAGCTCATCCAATCCCTCAAACACTGGCAGAGGAGGTGGCAGCTGATGGCACATTATTGTCAAAGTGTAATTACTCATTTTGTTAATTCTAACTAAAAGCTACATCAATCAGATACCAGACATCTGCAAGTTATTTTGTATTCAGCCCAAAATTCAACACATCAAACCTCAGTGTATCTGTTACATGTTATAGATCAACAAAAACTGTTGGATAACAGGGGGGTGAAAGGAAAATTATGGTTTGGTTTTTTATTTAATTTTTTTTTTAACATAACATTTGGAAATACTACCTATACTTTTAGCACAATTTGTAGAGAGTTGTATTTTTTTGTGATCACAGCTGCCTCTATTCTAAGCTGTCTCTATCAGCTTAGAATATCTGACTGAAGATATTTGCAAATCTGTTTTCCAGTCTTCCCATAGATACTCAAATGACTTTAGATCCTTACTTTGACTGGGCCACTCTAACACACTGAAATGCTTTAATAAAGCTCCGTTACTGCTCTGCCCCTGCTAGAAAGCGAGGCTCCAATTAAGTCTTTTCCAACCGCTTGTATGTTTTCTTTAAGGATTACTGTTTAGATGTCTGTTGAGAATGCCTATCCCCTCGTAAGGAAAACATCCCGATGATGGTGCCACCACTATGGCTACACTACAGGATTGATTGGCTCTGGTTTTTCCTACCTTCATGGAGGCTTAAAATATCAGTTTTAATCTTGTCACCATTCCACAAAAGCCAGATTTTAAAGTGCATAACTTATAGTTGTCTTTTCAAAACATGCACACACCTGAGCTCTGGCTCTCTGCAGCTCCCTCAGAGTCAACATTGAACAATAATTGAAGATTTGGATCTATTCCACGCTCTGTTTTTTGTAAATTGTGGATTAAACCGTAATCTGTGGGATTTTAAAAAATGATGTACTCTGTCACTCGGGCTTCACAAGACCGTTTGTTCTCTGATGTCCAACAAATCTCTGATTCCTTCACAGAACAGCTGTATCTATATTGAGGCTAAGTTACATACAGGCTGACTCTACCAGATAAGTTCTAAATTTCTTGCACTGTCCTACCTTTAGGGGTACCATAGTTAGGGGGCTTAATACAAAAATGTCTATAAAAACACAGACAACAACAACAAAAAAGCAGCTGTTGTTTTGTGTCCACTTTGCAATTATTCCACTTTATGTCTGTCACATAAAATCACAATAAAAACATAACATTTTCTGTTCGCAAGGTATAAAAATGCTAAAATGTTTATGTAATGTTTGTGCTAGACGCTTTATTTTATTATGAATATACAAATAATTTTTTTTATGTCTGTTATAATCAAATAAGAGCATTTAAAAAAATACAAGTGGACTTTCTGGTTCCTTGTGCTATTGTTTTTATTAATGTTATCATTGCTATTGTGGTCATCATTATTAATTGTAGCAGAACAAGATAAATGAAAACACCCCTCAGCAATCATGGCTTAAGTTTCTTCATACTGGAACGGAGAGAAAGAGGGAAAGCTAAGGAGAGTGAGAGAGAGAATGAGAAAGAAGGTGGAAAATCTTAATCAGTTTTTTTTCTTTGAGGACCATATGGATGGTTTCAAGCAGCCAACCATATGTTGAAGGCTTTTGTCATGGAAATCATACTTTTTGGCACTTTTTCATTGCGCAGCCAAGCCGGGCACATAAATTGAAAGAAAAGAAGAAAAGAAAGAAAAATCATACCCAACATGATCAGATCTTTGAGAAAACACAGAGTTGAAAGTTGTTGTTCTAACTTATTACAGATATCTTCTTAATCAAGACGCTCCCTGATTCACATGGCCAACCAGACTGCAATTGGTACCTGCATTTGTCTTTTTTTTTTTAATAGAAAAAAAAAGACATGGATAGAAAAAAGAGCATTTAAATGTCTACATGCATTGTGATATTATTGCTGTGATATATTTACACATGTATTTACAAAATCAAAGAGGAACAATGTTTCCCTACATCTAAATGTGTTATTTTGCTATCAAGTTCTGCCCCTTCTCTGGAAGCGGTCTTAATACTGCCAGGTTTAGAAGCAAGCCAGCATTTACATTTGAGGTTTTTAATACGCTCAGTGCATGTATTTGTCTTTTCAATACACAACCCTCACATTTTGGTGATGCCTTATTGTTCTCTCACATGTTAAATAAAATAAAAAAAAATAGATTTCAGAAGCAATCTTTTTTTGCCAGCGATTTTCCAGATTGTGTGTCCGACACGTTGATTATTAGACAGGTGGTTTGGATGCTCTCATGCAGGGATTCAGCTGTAGCACTACATAGGATGATGGTGAAGCAGAAAGAAGAGGATGAACAAATAGAACAGAAGCTCCTCTTTGCTCTCCTTTCTCCTCCTCAGCTTAGCTTTTTTTTTTCTCTCTCTTTTTTTCAAAGCGAGCTCAGCATTGCTGCAATAGTGCCATCCATTTGGAATATGCAAATAGCTGACAGTGCATTTGCCTGCTGGTGCTTGACCTTCCCCTTGGAGGTCGCTCACCGACTCAATTACGCTCCCTATCTGCAGTCTGTCTACAAACACCTGTTATCCTCCCACACTCCACCACCCTCCGCCAATCCTACTTCAGCACATCTAATGCGCGGCGCGTCTGTTCAGAGGCAGTTGGGACAGGGTGAGGACGGCTGCTGGGTAAGGGAGGGATGCAGGAAAATATAAAGCTGCGGGTTTGGAAGTTCAATGCTGCGTGTCATTTTATTACAGCTATTGAGAAAAAAAATCTTCCTTCACTCAGAAAGTTAATGCCAAGATTATTTTATAATTGCTGCTAAAGAGCACACATAAACATCCTTTTGCTATCTCAGGAGGAGTTCAAATCGTTACATGCCTCATGGTGTGTTTTAAAACTTTATTATCACTCTCACCTAATGAAAATTAGTGTCTTGTTGTGGTTTTAATGTGGAATGAAAAATTATTAGGTTAACAAATATCAGCCCCGTGTCAGTTTTGAAGTAATGGCCTGCTGATCTTGGCGTTATTATTGCTTCAACTTTAGCACACCGAGACTTTTTTATTTTTCTGATTTCCGCGATGCACATTAGCGTAGATCACTTCTGAGAACTGGTAGTTGCCTGAGATTGAAAGACAAAAAAAAAGAGGCCAAAAATCTCCCTCTTTGAGAAGTTGGAGTGCTTTTGGTAAACACAATCAGTATTTTTGTGTCATCGTTTTCTCTTTATTGCCCTATGTTAAACAAAAACAGAACAGCTGGGATTGTTTTTCCATGTCATTGCTTTTTTTCCAGTCTTGTTATTGCCACAAAGCCTAAAAACTAAGTCTGCATTCATTCATTGGAAGTCCTCTAGCACTGGTACTGTACATTGTTCCTCTTTAAAACTAAGTCCCATGGACTCTCTACAGTTTTCATGCATATAAACATTTTCTTTGAAGATCAGCAGCATCTTACAAGGACAATGGATGTTGGTCTTTTCAAATAACAACCCATAAATAAATACATGATAAATAAGTATTCAATAAATAAGCGAAAATAGGATAAATAAATAAATAAATAAGTAAATAAATAAATAGACAAACAGGAGGACAAATAAAGTATTTACATGATAAATAGATGGTATGCATCTACCAAACCATGGGAGTAGCTTTGAGCGACATATAAAAACAGACAAACACAAAAATGTGTCACTTTGTAACTGAGGGTGTGCGAGTCCGTACGTTCACTCTGAGGTAATACTGGTGGAGGGGGTGAGCACCTCAAATACGGGGTCGAGATTACTCATTAAGACTGGACGAGGCACCAAGAAGGCAGCGGGGTTTACGCCAGCCATCATGGTGAAGGAAGAACGATAAGAGTTTTAATTGCTATAGATGAGTGAACTGCTCATGGCACTTATTAAAACATTTGGTCTGGCTTTCAGTTTTTTTTTTTTTTTTGTCCAAGTCTGTGCATCAAGGTGAGACTATGAATCTGATCAGATGGTGGGAGTAATTGTACCTGCTCAACAGGACAACATTTCAAAATCACTGTTCCTGCAGAATTGATCTGAATGATGTATGATTTTTTTTTTTTTTATAGCTTATTTAAGACGAGCTCTGTTTGATGTACCCACAGTTACAAAGAAGCTTTTGATCAACAAGAGATAAAAAGCACAAAAAAATAAATTTAGAAAAATTAAATAGAAAAATAACATCCGTTGAATTGAAAGGTTGGTGTGGAAAAAAGGAGGGTTTGTCTTTTTTTTTACCTTTTAAAATGATCTCCCTTTTTTTTTTTGCAAATACTGTCATAGTTCACATTTTTGTAAAAAGTTTATGTTGGCAGTTGCAAAAGAATTCAATTCTTAGCAAATAAAAAGCAGCATAAAAATACAAGAGGTCATTTTGTCTCTAAAAAACAAAATAACGCTGTTAGTCCTTTTTTATGTTTTTTTTTTGTTTGTTTTTTGTTACTATTTCCTATAAAATATCAGGAATCTAAATATTATTACTATTGATATCAATATTATTATAGTCATTGATAAAAATTCACATGCCAGGCCTCATATATAATTGTGTTGTAAGAGTGGGTGTGCATTCATGTATGTGTCTCAGTGCGTGGGTGCGTGTTTGCGTGTGTGTGTCTCCATGTCCCCACATTGGCGTGAGCACATGTTGCTGAGTTGTGTACAACTACCATCTACAGTCTCTATTTGGGGGAAGGTTGATTGATTGTATGTTTCTGTGGACGATTAGCTACTGTGCAGGGAAAAAAAATCCAGCATCTTTTGAAATTGTCTTTGCCATAATCAGTTATCAGAGTTTCTTCACGTAATCTCAGTGAAAATATTGCTTTCTAAAAAAAGGGAAGAAAAAAGGCATGGAGGGTAGAGTGAACAGGGTTATTGGTTGTGAACCTTCAACAGGGGTTCAGAAATTCTGCTTCTGTCGTGGTTAGTTTTCTGATCCAGAATCGTCTTCGTCTGCGGAGCCCTTGAAGCAAGCTGACTCATAGTGCTTGTTCAGGTAGGACTTGAGAGCAAAGGTCTTATTGCAGCGCTTGCATCTGTAGTGCTTGAAGGCAGAGTGTGTTTGCATGTGGGCGCGGAGGTTTGAACGGTCAGCAAAGGCTTTGCCACAGTGGGCGCAGGCGAAGGGCTTCTCCCCCGTGTGTGAGCGCATGTGACCCTGCAGCAGCCAGGGCCGGCTGAAGGCCTTGCTGCACACTTCGCACTTGTGCTTGAGGTCGTGGGTGAGGATGTGCATTGCCAAAGCCGGCATGGACACGTACACTTTGTTGCAGGTGGGACACTTGCGGGCCATCTTGCTGTCCAGGCTGCGGTGCGTCTGCTTGTGTCTGCTGAGGTTGGAGGAAGTGGCGTAGGTCTTTCCGCACTCGTTGCAGGTGTGGCGAGGAACGCCGGCTCCCCTCTCCTGAACCCCACCGTTGGCGCTGCTGCTTCTCGAGCTAGACCCGCGAGCCTCGCCCTCTCCCTTTCGCCTGGAGCGCCCGTCGGAGATGAAGAAGGCATCCATGGTGTAACCCTCGGCCAGAGCCTCCGATTCACCAGTGTAGAAGCCACTCGCCGTCATGCCGGACTGGGGGCTGTCGGGATGTTTCAAGTCTGGGTCACAGTACTCCCCACCGCTGCTCACCTGGGTGTACAGGGGATCCGACACCGGCGAAGCAAGCTTATGCTCCATCTTCTTCTCCCCCTGGTATACAGATGGTGTGATGTAATCCTGGATGTATCCTGAGTAAGAGACACACAAAGACAGTTGGCCAGAGCTTGTGATGGATGAACACAATGGGACATTATTTAGCTGCACCAAGGATTATTCCTTATCTTTAAATAACATTCAAAATGGCTGGACATTTTTCTTATTCATGCATAAAATAGTGCAGCACCACCCCTCCCCCACTTGTTGCTTCCTACTGCCAGCCAGTATGTAGTTGATATGAGCAGTGAATGTGTAGAAAAAATGAGGTCCAGTCATCTCTTGACACGGTAACGCTGTTTTTAAAACAAAAACTTTGGAAGCTATTCATTTTTCAAATACTTTAAAACATTTAAATGTTGATACTTTCCTCATTTGTATTAAACTGTGAGAGTCTCATAATGGCTGAACTGTCAGTGAACATTTGACTAAGCATCTTCCTTAAGAGTCAGCACAGCTATGCCAAACAGAATAATGTTTCAGTGCTGAGTTTGTCTAGTTTCCATATAAATATTTTAAATTTTTTTTTTATTAGGTTCCCTGATTTAGCATAGCAGAGTCATTAAAGTTTTTCAGTCAACAGATGATTGCATTAAGTTGCTAATTTTGCATCAATGCTAAATATAGTTTGGATCTTGTTTATTCGTCTGCATATAGCGTATTGAACTTCTGCTTCTCTAACAAACAGAGCTTAAGATGATGAAGCTAGCCGCAGCACACTGTGAGAGATTTATGTTTTTCCTCCGTTTTACCTCTGAGGAAGCTTGGTGACAGAGCAGCTGAAAGCCTTGCTGGCAGCTAAATGAACCCTAACAGAGGTTGATAGATGCTAAAGTGGCATGTAAGCTCAATACAAACTAAATGCATTTCATCTTCTGGGTTGATATATTTTAAAGTGCAAATTTAAAATGTAGTGAATTTCTTTTCCTGAGACAAATAGTGCATAACTGCAGAAAAAAAGGCATTCCTAAGCGTTGTGTGCAGCAAGCAGTGGAAATTAGGTATTGACTGTTTTTTAATGAAATTCAAAGTTTTGAACTGATCAATAACCTATCATCTGTAAAATAGTGCAGCTGTTGAAAGAGTCCAATGCTGGAGAAGATAATGTGTGGAACAGATCAAGTATCATGGAGACGCTATAAGAGTCTATTGAATAGAGTTTGCAGGAGCACTGATAATGTGAGACATGGCATCAGAAACCGTGTTTCCAAAGATGCTCACCTGTCTGCAGCGAGCATGCCGAAGTGCTTTCAAGAAACAAGCCATTAAGAAATCAGTTTAAGTGCTCTCTTACTACTGCTTCTCCATTCCCAAGGGTTTGGGTTCACACAGCCTCTTTGTCAAAGACATGACCGTGACACCCGGGGACAAGGAAACTACAGGCCTGTGCACGCGGCATTATGCTGCACTGCATGGCTTCACGGGTTTAAACAGCACAGATGGTGTTTGTCTGTGAGACAGCGTCACTTTCTTTTTCTAAAACCAAACAAATGAATTTGTTTGTTGGTTTCACTCTTAAAGCTGCTGTTAAATGCATAAATGCTGCTGCTGCACAGCAATGAGAAACCAAATCCACCTGTTTTACAGCCACATTATCAGCAAACATGAAGTGTGTTTGCATTGCATTTTTTTTGGTTATTTTATTTTGATATTCTCTCCAACAAAAACAGACGTGCCATATCACTGTACGCAGACGTGTTTACCGTGTTGCAATTACTCAAGGTCAAACACGGAGCTCACCATTTAGGACTGGTGCTGTATCAGCCTTTACAGCTCATAGACTCATTTCTGTAATGCAAAGCAAGCATGTAATTAATGGACCCTCTCAGCCTCCCCTCTTTGTTGTTCGACAGACACTCAAGTCAAATGTCTCCACAATGGGGGGAAAGAATATCTCCCAGAACAGCAGAAGTGCTGACGTTAGGTGTTTCGGCTGCGCTGGAAATCCTTTATTTCATCTCCCCTTTTTTTTTTGTCTCTGTGTAAAATAGTAATTCTTTCTTTCAGATGAAAAGGTTTTGTTCTCATCCCCTTTAAATAAAACATGCTTATCTTTCACGATTTTGAACAATAGAATGAAGAACAATAGAGTGAGTAAAACTGTACAAATTAAATTTTAAATATAAGCAAAAAAAATACAGCAACAGGAATAATAAAAGGCATTCAGCACAAGCAAAAAAATATGATTTTAAGGAAATATAATTATTCAGGTGCTCAATTTCTAAACTCTTAAATGTTGAGTAAATGCTTATTTGGATTTTTTTTTTTCTGATCTGTTAATTTTTTTTTGCAAAAAAATAAAAACATAGTGTGATCTTCCTTCTTAAAACCCCCCCTTACTTTTGAAATGGCTGAATAACAGGTGGGCATCATCAACAGGGCTTAGCTGTGCGCTGTGATTTCTCTCCTGTTAAAATATTTCAGTGAATCACAACAAAGGCTCTCATATGGCCCACCAAACATGGTCACAAAATGGAAGCAACGAGCCTAAAGCGGGCTGTGAAAGTGAAGGTCGCCCCGTCAGCTCTGACCGGAAGCTTAGCGTGGCCGGTCAGAGTGTTGACCACAGCGCAGTTATCTGCCTTTTCCCCGTGTTTACTGTACAACCTCCGTCACGTGATCTGCCTCATTGCTGCCCTGAGCATTTTTGTCTCCTTATTCTGCCTCTTTTCAGCGTTCAGCTCCCCACCTCCCTCACTGCTTCACTGTACAGTGTGTTGATGTCTCTTGTGACGGCAATAGGCCTGCACGGTTGAAACTCTAACCCCTGCTAGTTTTCAAATGCCCGGAAGGAAGAGAAAGATGTAGCGGAGCTATGGGGGTGGGGAGACTGTGTGCATGCTCCATTTGGATGGGAAGAGGGGGGCAAGGGAGGATCGGACCATGATGGGAACTCAAGGACAATAACAGCTAAGGACAAATATATCATCCGATACTCATTGCTCAGGTTCTTGAATTTTCTACTGCACATCATGACCAGATATGTTCACCCTGCATGTGTTTGTGGTCCACAGGGGTTTTGCAGTTATACAAATGCGTATCCAAGCTCTCCTGATTAGACACATGTTTGCTTCCCTATTTACATAAACTAATCCGTGGCTGTGACCTGAATTGTGTCTGTCCTTTGCCAGAGTCAAAAAACAAAAGTCTGCGATGGGGGTGGGGTGCCTCGGAAGCGGATTATTTTGGATGTGGGTGCGCAAAATCAGCTGGATGCATGTAACGTGTCACATTAATTTACACAGTTTCAGCATATATATTAGCTGACTCAAACAAAAAAAAAATCCCACCCAACAGATAGAAGGAGGACACCGTCTGTGTGGAAATGTGAGGCATGCTGAAATCAGTGCCAGAGCTGTTTACAGGACATCTTTCACTAGAGCGGCTCAGACTGGAGGCATGTTAGAACTCACCATTCTCACTGAGACGAACCCCGAGACTGGTCACCGAGTCTGTGATGGAGCGGGCAAAAGTGAACGAGTCGTCCAGGTGGTGATGATGGTTGGAGTTGGCCACATTGGACGAAGAGAAATCATCAAGCTTGATCTTCTTCACCAAAAAAGAGCGGGGCATGTTTCAGTGGATGAAAACACGGGACTGAGAGAAACGCATGAGAGAAAATAGAAGAACCTCTGAGGACGCAAACAAGCAGAGCTGGTTGACGGTAATCCTTGTGGTTGGTGTGGTCAAAAAAACATATGATAAGAAAGCAAAAAAAGATGAAAACCAGTGGAGAACAAGGCTGATGACAATGCTGGCTTGATACTCTTTGGTTCCCTCAGCTTCCCCCAGAAAAAATAAAAAAATAAAAAATAAAAGCGATCCTGTTCAGCACTGGATAGCTCCTGTGATGCAGCAGGCTTAAGAGACCAGTGAGGAAGAGAAGAGATGGAGACAGACAGAGAGAGGAGGGAGAGAGCGCAAGAGAAAGAGAGAGAGAGACTGTCAGACTAGCTGAGATCAGCAATCACGCCAGCCTTTATATGGGGCACAGGCAGAGGAAGATCAGGTGGTGCTGCGAAATGGAGCTGCTTAGCTTTAATCCATCAAATGTCCCTGGGGACACACATCAAATTACTACTGAACCGTCTGTGCATTCGCACACAGACAGAGGAGAAAGAACACAGCCAGACCCCCTCTGCCCCCCTGCTGCTCCCCCTCCTCCTCCCTTCCCCTCCTCCTTTCACCCCGCTTATGCTCCATGCTCAGAGGAGGAGTAAAAGAGATGGGCAGACAATGGAGATGTGGATGAGAGCACACTCGGTGTCCTGTCCCCCATTGTCTTCAGATGAAGTGGCACAGTTTATGTTTGTCTTGCACCGGCTCTGCCTCCCTCAAGTCATCTCTGTTTCCTCAAATAGCCTCAGATCTTTCCTTCCTGTGGTCGCACTGCACTGCTCTCACAAGCCAACAGCAGGCACTAAGTCCAGGAAAGATCAGCAGAGTGTTTGGGAGTGCTGCTCCTTTTCTTTCGAAGTTGAACTGGATTCCAGCACCGCTGATGAGCCAAGCACAGGGAAGGAGAATTGCTCAGCTCAGCGCTGCTGTCTCCCTTCCCATTACTGCTGCACAGATGTGTGTCCTGCCATGCATGGCAGTGAATTATCTGATTAATTAATTACATCTTTTTTGATTAGGGTGAAATCCAGAATTAGATCTGTGCTCGCTAAATTGGCCACATATCTCTCGGTATGTATTTGTGTAAATTAATTTAAATGTATTTTCTGCTCCTCAGATAGTGTCTCTTTTTCTATACTCACAAAAAGCTGTTACATGATATTATGATTTATACATATTTATATAAATATAAATCCACATTTATACTCTGATATGATATTGTACTTTATATGTATAAATACAGATTTAATAAACACTGAGCAACACATAGCGGTTGGTATTTCCAATAACTTTGGTAATTATGGCTGATGAATATCCTGAACATTTAAAAAGAAATTTTAAATATTTGATTAAAGAAATATCACGGTTTTAAAATAAAAAAAAAGAAATGTGGGAAAAACTGCTGACAACTTTTAGATATTTCCTTAGTCAGACTCACCTGACTCAAGTTATTGGATGAGTAAGAGGATAAATAGGCTGCATACTGAGGAGGTAATTCAGCTATTTGATTCGGATGTGTTTGAACAAGAGCAATTTTAAAAGTTGCAGAATGCCGGTTGTCAGGAGCTGGGGTTGCCCACAGTTGATCTAAAGGAAAGGTTTATCACGATCGCTCACTGTTTAAGGCGCCACTTCTGATCTTAAAACCTATCGATGATTTATCTTGCGATGCATATTCATAAATCCAACTTCATGATTTTCTAGTCTGAGACACAAGTACACCCCTTACAGTTGGAACTCCATATCTTTGCTGACGGGCCCAACTTAAATAGCAAATATGGAGCATAGAGAAAAGGTCAAACAAGTGGCACGCAAAGTGCTGTATCCTGCTGTTTTTCTTCTTTTTTTCCATTCCTGATAATAAACACACTTTTACTATTAGTTAAAAAAAGGTGTGGCGGTGTTACAGTGCTCGTTTGGCCAGGATATAAGCCTGAGCTGAACCCCACGGAGAAGTTATAGAGTATTGTCAAGAAGAAGATGAGAAGCACCAGACCCGACAATGCAGATATGGTAAAGGCTTCTATTAAAGCAACCTGGGCGTGCTTAACACCTCAGCACACCCCACACACACACATCGCTGCTTTAATGGGATAATTTATGCAAAAAGAGCCCAGACCAAGTATTATATGGACAAGCTGTATAGGAAGCTGAAAATCATTTCATAATCATAATTTTATGAGTAATCTAGTGTGATATTTAAATGTTTTGAAAATCTAAACTTTCATTGTCCATCAGTTGGGATTCATAGTAATTAAAATCAACAGTGTAATGTACACCTCGTGCTATGATCATATATATATATATATATATATATATTTTTTTTTTTTTTTTTTTTTTTTCAGTGTTTTACTTCTGGATGGAAATTTTTAAAATGTATTTTTTTGTAAGCAAAAATATAAAATTTTACAAAAATACAAAAGCACTTGTAGGTTAACAATAAAAAATATATACACTCTAACCTTAAGACTTATTGATCAAATATATTTATGTTTTAGTAAAGTGCTTGACTGTGGTTGAAGGCCTCATAGATCTCCTCTGACACGAGGGCCTACCCTTCCACCTGGGTCGCTCTAAATCACCCACACCACCAACAGTGACCCTGCAGCTCGGACGCAGCTGGGTGGGGGGAGTCGGGGGGGCAGGCGGTGTTAAATCACAGCAGCGAGCGTTTATCGCAGTTATGTGATTGTACATTACAGAACAAGTTGGCGTTGTCACCAAGCCTTGCATGTTGTGCAAAGACAAGGACAAGATGGGTCAGGGGTGGAGCTCCAAACAATCAGCTGATTTTCCTTTTTTGCTAATGCTTTCTTCGGTTACATTTTTGACAGATTTTCATTCTCAGAGCCAAATCTCTAATAAGCCTATACTATAATTTTACACTTTAATTTCAGTTATTTTCAAGCTTTTAGATAATGAAAGTGGCCACTAGAGAACAGAATGAAGATTTGGTTTTATTTTGCTTATTGCTTACAGTATAATGCTGATGGACGGGCAGACGGATGGACAACAAATCTTCAGCTGTAGGTCAGAGGAACTGCTCTCAACGGTTCCAGAATCTTATCCCATAGCCTCACATGTTTTGCAGCATTTTGCTGTGGCTGAATACTCTAAGGAGTTGATGTTGGACCATAGCAGGTGTTTTTCTCCAACATCTGTGATGTTTGCATTTAGCTATAGAAACTCTCAGGTGAGTAATTTTCTTAAGTGCTGAGCAGGCTATATGACTTTCTGCTATAGACAAATATGGATACAAAGACATCATCCCAACTCAGATTACGATTTTGATTTTCTCACATTGTCAAGATATTTGTTTTCTGGTACTGTAAACGTTTCTATCATTTGGCTATTAATTGTTGTGACAGAGATTTAGATTTGTTCATGCAAATGCTGAGTATTTATATTTTACTCCTTGTAGCAAAGCTTAAGATAACAACGAGCCTCCCTTGGCTCTATATTGACCCTTTTGCAGCAGCATTTTGAACCTGCAGGCTATTTGGTGCTGAACTAACATTTACCTTTGACAGAAGCTGTCATTATTCGGGTCTTTTTATGGCTTGACACACCACTTCCAGCTTGGCAGATTATGGTACATGAGGTTATAAGAGAGAGAGATCAGAGAAAATCTTATGTTTGAGCCCATGAAAAATACTTAAGTTAGTTAATCATGTTTTTATTTTCTGTGACATTGCTGCTACTTTTTGATTTATTTTAAATATCAACTAAGGAATGAAAATGTGTCAAAATTTGAAAACTGACATTAAGCTTAATTAGAGGTTTGCCAAAAGACTTATAGATTAATCAGTTTATCACAGTGTACAGTAGTATCTTTTGTTGGTTAGAACTCAAACAGCACCTTAAAAAAAAACAATTTTTTTTTACTTATTTTTCTTTATCATCCAGTATTCCTTGCAAAAGAAAATCAGATCTCTGTCAATGTGTTTCGTCCACAGTACATAATACCTTGCTTTAAGAACAATAGCTCTGTCACTCTTGGTACATTGTCCTGTCACCACCACGATTTTAAGAGGGTGTCATGTTTTTATGATTTTTTTAGAGAATGGAGTTCTCCATAATAAAAATAAACAAATATCCCAGGTGGTTTTTAATTGTTTTGTGACTGAAAATCTGGAAATTACCTGAATATAATTATGTCCAGTCACCCCTTTTCCTTGACTCAGTACATGCTCAAGTTTACTCTGAATTGAGAGTCTTTTTATAAACAGTATTGAAGTATTTCAACATCCTTTGCCTTTTAAGCTTTAGATGTGGTTCTGTTCCAGTAACCCTGATTTAAATGATTGCTTCTCCTCCGCTTCTCTCCTCCATTAAATGCTGCAGAAGCCTCTTAATTACACATTCATTGAAGTCAGGTGTTTTTCTGCAAGCAGACATCTAAAACATACATGTCAGGGGTTCCCTAGGAGCACATTTTGGAACCATTGCCCTATTTATGAACTTGACATCTTTTCCCAACTGATCCGTGGATGGTTGTGGCTCCTCCCTTGAGCTTTTTATTTTTGTCATTCCACTGTCTCAGTGACTAAATGAACTATCTGCATTTAACCCATCCCCTTGGGGAGCAGTGGGCTGCCATTGTGTGGCACCCAGGGAACAGTGTGTGTGGGCCTTGAACTCACAACCTCTAGATTCCAAGCACAATGCTCTTACTACTTGGCCACACTCCCCTCCTGGCCTGGTCTGTTAGCATTTGCTCTTCTTACGCCTCAATCAATGTATTTACCTCTTGAATTATATATTTTATGGATATATTTTAAATCATTAATGTTATTAAATTACCTTTTTAGTGTATAGTAACACGGAAAGTACAGTAGGTACACTTAAACTAATGCTATACTCACCAAGTTATAACAAGTGTTTCCATTTCTTTGTTTATCCGGTCATTAGTTGCTTGAACAGGTTGCTTTCTGTTCCAGCGATCAACAGGTGAAATAGGATGGTTATTCAGAAACATTCTACATGTTTTGCAAAACAATTCTTCAATAGCATTTTTAAAAATCAAATTAAACAAATTTTCCCCCAATTCAGCGATAAGTTAAAAGCGAATTAAAAGACAAACTTACCTCCCAGTCACCATTTCTGTTTTATTCTTTTGCTTATCTAAAAATTCTCCCCATGGTAAATGCCCTCCTTCAGGCTAGGGTAAGGGTTTTTACTCTTCTATGCTGAAGCAGGATGTAAAAATCTATGCGCTGGTCAGGAGAGAGGAAGCTGTGAAGATCAGCCTCATTAATATCCTGTATCACCCTCCAGGGTTATGGAAATGTGACCTGCCTGGCCAAATGAATGAGATCAGTTTGGTTGATTTGCTGTTTCACACAAGAGACACTTCTTACATTTGCCTCATCTACAAGTCAGTTTCCCATCTCTATTTACAGCCAATTGAAGCCTTTTTAAAATAAAA